CTATTATACAGTTCCTTTTTTGCCAAACATAATTTTTAAAAAATGTGTGTGCTACTCACATAAAAATAATTTCTGTTCAATCATGTACATACCTAAAGAACTCAGTATTTTGTAGAAAAGAGAAATATCACACTTGATTAAAATGATAGCATAGTTAGATTGAAGCATTTTCCCCATAAATTATTTTATACTGGTAAATTGCTAGGATGGAATTTGTTATAACAAACAAATCACTCGCCTGATTGTTATTTTTGAGAACCATTTCACTACATTGTTTTGTCCTGTTGAAAATGAAATCTAATGTATGTCTTGCTTTTCTTTCTCTTATTTCCTTCTGCTCACCAATGTGTACATGTGTGCATTTGTGCACATACGCACATAGGTGAAAACATATTGTTTAACTCATCTGGTTGTAAGTTTTTCTATATCTACTTCCCTTTTCTTACAGTGGAGTTAAACTAATGCATTTATTCTCATGTTACCTTATGTCCTCTAGTTTTTTTCAGTGTGTTTAATCAAGGTCAGTATTCATAGGATAATCAAGCTGCTCATTTCCAATAGCAAAACAGAATGAGTAGCTTCTTCATTATTCTGTTTTTATTTAGGAAAATTATAAAACTTGGAAAAGGTAAGAAGTACTGTGATGAGCATCTGTATGCCCTTCAGCTATATTCAGCAGTTGTTAACAGCTTAACATTTTGTAACATGTGTTCTCTTCTTTTTCCCTCATCCTCATCACCCCATATACTTTGAACCTTCTTTTTGTTGTCATTTAAAAGTATATTGTAGACCATCACCCTTATACTTCAGTATATGTATCTCCTAAAAGCAAGGACATTCTCCTGCATAACCTTATTACACGTGCACAGTTTGGCATTGATACAATAAAATGATATAATTCACAATCTGAGTTTTTTCATCTCCCCCAAAATGTTTCCCCTCCCCTGGGAGAGGGGGAACTAGTTCAGGATTATGCATTACATTTGGTTGCCATGTCTCAGTATCCTTTAATCTGCAGGGCCTAGCAGATTTTTCTTAAAGGGCCAGAGAGGAATACCTTAGGCTTTGGGGATCAATTCCATTTTGCAAATACTTTACGCTCTCATTGTAGCTTTATAAGACAGTATGTAAAGAAATGAGTATGGCTGTATTCTAGTAAAATTTTATTTGTAAAAATAGGCAAGCCATAGGTTGTAGATTCCTGATCTAGAATAACCTTTTTTCCCCCCCGTTAATGACCCTGTTTAATGACTGAAGAATCAGGCCAGTTTTTTTGCAAAATGTCCCTCAGCCTGGATTTAAAAAAATGTTTCCTTCATTTTTTTTTTAAAGGGTACAAATGCCATGTAACCATAGGAATTGTTTTTATAATAGAAATGGAAAACTGATTCCCTGAAAAAGCTTCTGGTTCAATTGAAAATAAAATCTTTCCCTCTCTCCCAGTGTGTGTAATAATACTGCCTAGAAATTGGACAATAAAATTAAACTTTGAGATTGCTAATTCCTTGGTATTCTCTTCCAGATACCAGGATTTTTACGTATAAACTTTTTCATGTAAATATTTTTAATATTCACAGAAGTGAATAAAGAATTCAGGAGGACTTGGATAATGAAAGGTAGTGAAAACAGACATAGACTTGATTATTTATATTTTAGCAAAATATAATTGTATAATATAAAAGCTAAAGTCTGTTGAAGGTTTTCATTTTTTGGTTAAATATTCTCAGAGTCTTTAACCATTCCACAAATCACATCTGCACAATAAAAGGCTAGTCTGATTTTTTGACGTTACTTAATTTGTGCCTTGGTTTCCTTATCTGTAAAATAAGGATGATGGTACCTTATAAATCTGTGAGGATTGAGTTATTACGCTTAAAATACAACGTCTGGAATACAGGGTGGGGCAAAAGTAGGTATACGGTTATGAGTACGAGAAACAGAACTTAATCTTGTATTATTATTTATTATAATTTTCTATATGAACAATTATAAACCTACTTTTGCCGTATCCTGTATGGTACACATTCAGTAAATGTGTTAAACACTGTTGTTTTTTCTTACTATATTGTTTCTCATCTGTCCTTATGTGTTCTTGAGCCTGTTTGTATTAAAGCAGAGCTGAATATAGTAGCAGGTATGATCTGATCAGCCCAGGAAGAGTATGGTGGCCACATTAATATGGACTGAAGTTGGAGTTTTCTTTTTAATTCATGGTGGATAATTTCAAATATACAAAAAGTAGACAGACTAGTATGATGGACTTTCCGTAATCACCCTCGAACTCCCAACAACATGACCAGTCCTGTCCCATTCATTCCCCCCCCCATTCATTTTTATCTAATTCCTTTTCTCCCTCTTTGGTGTAACTGTAACTCCCCTATTATACCTAAGCTCTGTGCCTCATTTACCTTGATAATTACTAAAGCTTTTAGGATAGTGTCTTCTCTTAGTAAATAATTTCTGAATCAGTGAATAGGTGAATCTTGTCTTGACTGATGCCTGGATTAGCTTCCAGTAGTTTGCTTAGGAGTTAAAGTAGGTGAGCGGGTGGGATTCAAGATAGATTTTAATGTGTCACACTGTTATTTTTAGGTGTCACCCCAGTTTTTAATGATTCCTTCCATTTCTGTGTAGGGATGTGTATGGTAATCTTACTGGTAAAGTCTCTTGAGTACTCCAGGAAATAATTCAAATTAGCTGGGTCAGGAGACTTGACTTCACTGTTTTATTAGTATTCTCACTTATTCTGGACTTTTCAGTCTTTACCAGTGTTTATCTTAGGCCTTTCAACCTGATAATCATTTTATCTTGATTAAAGAGACGCAAAATAGGAATTGAAAAGTTACACTTTCTTTGTCATCTTTGTTGGAGTTATTTCTTTAAAGTCAGAATTATTGTGGAATAAGTTACGTATAGTAAAAATTGTTAAAATTTATTGGCTTCAGATAGAGGCCTTTCTTTCCAGTGGCAATAACTCACTGTAGCCCTTTTTTCAAGACTCCTCTTATTTTTTCCATAACTATTCTTATTCCTTATTGATGGTCATTATGCTTTCAGCAGTTGCTGAAATTTAATACACTCCAATCAATTTTATATTGACAATACAGAAGTATGCAACTTTTATTTAAAATGGGTCAGTCATATATATATATGTGATATAATATATAGAGACACTATAACAAGTCTGGTTATTCAACTAGCAGGGTAGCAGTTAGGTGAAATGTGACAATTAAGGATATGATAGTATAGGCTCTAATAGTGAAGTCGGCTCAGTGTTATCACCCTAAGATGGAGCCTGAGTGATCCTGCTTGGTAGAAACAAAACAACCAGCACAGGCAGGATTCGTATACTTCATACACCTCAAAGCAAACAGAAACTTAGTGAAAGTGAGTTTAGACTTAACCTCTGGAACTTACCCAGGAGTGACTTAGTACAGCCCTTGCTTTTTAACTCAGTTCTAATTTTTGAAGTTCTAAATGAAGTATCTCTAGCTTGAGAGGAGTCTCACTATTCAGTGCTAGCAGTTTTTAATCTTAATTATTAAACATTTCACCAAGGATTAGTTAACAGGGGACCTGAGAACAAGATTAAGATATATTTTAGTCAGGGAGCTGATAAAATGTTCTAATGTCATGTTGCAATTAGGCTATGTTTGTGAACCTCAAAATTGCATTTTCTTACCTCTGAAATTTCTGCTAGTTGGTTGACATCTGAACTTAAAAGATTCAGTATATTTTTGACTACACAATATCTGTCCATTCATTTGTTCATTCAAAAAGTATGTATTGCTGGGAAATGTGCTGCACACTGGGTAAACAAAACAGTAGACTTTTTAAGATGTGTTTGCCATGGTGGAGTTTACAGTCTGGTGGGAAACAGAATGACATTTATTTGAGGCCATAAAGAAAAATTGCTTCATTAATACTTTAAGGACTTAACCACTTATTTTGACATGAACTTGGAGTGACTTGTTGATTTTTTTTGCAAAATGTGTTTGAGCCTTCAGAGTTTTGGGTCAACGTGTTTACATTTGTGTATCTGTATGTGAAATTAGACGTTAGAGAGGCAAGACAATTTGAACTAGAAGGAGAGAAGGGGGAAGGGAGAAAATTAATTAGTATACATGTACCATAATGCAATTTCAGGATAATGACATGTAGTAAGTAGATCTGTGTGGGAAAAATTATTTGTTAGCTATGCTAAATGGACTTTTGTAGGCAGGGAAGCCAAAGGAAATCTTTATGGCCTATCTTTAAAAATATTCAATACTTAAGAATCGACAGGAAAGTAAACTTCCTCTAGAATGGTATAATAAAGCAATTGAGAAGCTGGCACATAAGATCATGTTGAATTATGTGACAGTTTCCTGTAATCCTGGGCAAGAAAATGCACTTCACATTCCATATTCCAATAGAGTACAACAGAGGGCCTGAATTTGGTGATTCCTCCTAGTGCTAAAATCTTAATGGTTTTAATTTTTTATTTATTTAGCAGTTTCTTGATGACTGGATGTTGGAAAGTCAAGATACTTTCTTATTTTCTATACTTGTTCAGCTTCAAGAATTAAAAAATGGGGGAGGCCCTGGCCCAGTAGCTCAGTTGGTTAGAGCATTGTCCCCATACACTGAAGTTGCTGGTTCTGTCCTTGGTCAGGGTACATACAAGAATCAGCCAATGAATGCATAAATAAGTGGAGCAACAAGTCGATGTTCCTCTCTCTCTGTCTCTCCATCCTTCCTCTCTCTAAAAATCAATCAATAAAAAACAACAACACTTTAATGGGGAAATAAGGCTTTGCTTTTTCTAACTGATATTTTCTGACTAGGTACTTCGTAACTCAGGAAGACCTCATTTATTCCCAGTAATATGTTTTACTAAACTCTTTCAGGTAACTTTAAAAAGACTGTGTGACTTAATAGTAGATTATCGCTTGAACTCAGTTTTTCCTTATTATTGTTACTAGAGAGTTTTAGTGAGGTGTTTTTTTTTGTCTCTATAGTTATCAGAGACTATTACAGACGATTGCTGTACTCGAGGCTCAGCGTTCTCAAGCAGTCCAGGACCTTGAAAGTTTAAGCAGACACCAGAGAGAAGCACTAAAAAATCCTATTGGATTTGTGGAGAAACTCCAGAAGAAGGTATATATTGAGCACTCTATAAGATTTACTGAGATATATTTGATAATAACTAGGTTTTTTTATATGGTACATACTTTTAAAAATGTTTAATTCCCGCCCCCTTCTTTAATTAACCATACTACTGAAAGGGGGATACCGTCTTCCTTTACCCCCACCAAACGCATAAAATATATCCCAATGAAAATAGCCAGGAACTTTATTTGGATGTTCATATAGGAACTTGATGTCCTACCCCCTAGTCAATTTTATGATCCTTTCCTGTTACCTTCCCCACCTCAGAGTGTTTTCCCTCTCTGCTTTCCTGACTTCAGGATTAGTGAAGCTAAAAAAACAAACTTCAGGATTTAATAACTTTAGTTTTGAGTCACTTTTGTAACTGTCACCATAGTGAGATAGAATACAATGGTGATAAAAACACAAACTTTATATTAAATGTCTTTAAGCCCTAATCAGTTTGGCTCAGTGGTTAGAGCATCAGCCCTCAGACTGAGGACCTGGGTTCGATTCCCCCCAAGGGAATGTGCCTTAGTTGCAGACTCGATCCCCAGCCCCGGTTGGGGGGTGTGCAGGAGGCAACCAATTGATATGTCTCTCTCACATCAGTGTTTCTCTCCCCTCCTTCCACTCACATTTTATAATAACTTTTTTAGTATATAAATATGGAGATAATCTAGATGTGCATTTATGCCATAGTATGTGTTTTGAATTAGGGACCTACTAATTGTTCAATAAATTTTTAAGATATTAATCAGCATTATGTGAAAAGACTGAAACTGAAAAACTATGAAAAAGAATCCTCTTCTTCACCTTAGAAAAACAAAAACCTAGCCTGTATAGTATTACAACTTTAGTTTAGTTACTACTTGCCTGTTTCTAATGAATCACAAAAGTGATCTACCAGGTATTAAGGGAATAGCCCTGGGGACTTTTTTTCATTTAGATGTATTAATTTATTATTTGGATTTTTCTAGCTAAAATATTTACTTGGCAAACATTCCTTTCTCTCAGTGCTTTAAGTACACTGAATATCTTGATGGATGTAGAATCTATATATTGACTTGTTAAAACTTTAGAAGTTTCTAGAACTCCTCCCTGGTATAGTGGGCTCACTTAGGTGTTTATTGATTCAGCATTGTTATTAAACAATTTGCTGTTACAAGAAGATATAGTACTTACAATGATTCCTTAAAATGGATTTAACTAAAACAGATGGTGTTAGAAAGTAAATATTAATAAAACATTTATTAACCTTAATTTTATTTTATTCATGTTTATGGGTGGGCAGAACATAGAGTTAGACACATTTACTAGAATTCTGTGCATTTGGGGATTTGCTGGTTCTCCATTTTCAGGTTTAGTTTAGAACTGAATTTCTTTTCATTTTATCTCAGAAACGTGATATAGACCATCTTAAGAATTTTTTACAAAAAATGTACAGGTGTATATTAAATCCATGTACTTTAGTAATCATGAAAGACTTATGTTCCTTAGAAAGACATTTTTCTACTGGATTACTTTAGATGTTTGACTCTTGTTTTTCCATGTTTACTCATGTGTACTTAATTTGCCTGTTTTCTTTAGGTTTACCGTATTAAGTTGTTGACATGTGATCTGTTTGTTTTAGTGGACATCTAGAAACTCCTCATTAAAACTGAGGAAACTTGTAGTATATATTAGTGTATAGAATACAGGGAACATTTATGGCTTGCAGTAAGAGTATATATTATGAAAATAATTCATTGTTTTATGGATAAGTCATGAACATGGGGTACATTTAAAATAAACTCTGTGTCGCAAACACATTTCATATGCTGCTCTTTGACATAACCTTTCTTTGCTACTTATGTCTAAAGTCTGTTAGTGATAGTATACAATATGTCTATATAGTTCAGCTTCAGAGCTCTAAAAGTAGTGCTTAAGTCGATTCTTCCTTTCCTTGCTATCATCTTTATCATTTAATGTTTAGACTACATTATCTTAACTTCGTTGGCTGTTGAATTTCAACAGTGACTAGAATGCCCAGTTGGTGATTATTTGGATTTGGAGTCGTCTGACGTTGTGCTATAGTTGATAATTTCTTGAATTAAATTTAGACTATTTTATTTTTTCCAGGCTGATATAGGGCTTCCATATCCACAGAGAGTTGTTCAGTTGCCCGAGATTGTATGGGACCAATATACCAATAGCCTTGGGAACTTTGAAAGAGAATTTAAAAATCGTAAAAGACATACTAGGAGAGTTAAGCTAGTTTTTGATAAAGGTAAGAAATGATATGATAAGAATTTGAGTAGAGAAATATCTGGTAAAGTCTTGCTTTAATAATCCTATACATGACCTTTTATTTAGTAGGTTTACCTGCTAGACCAAAAAGTCCTTCAGATCCTAAGAGGGATGGAGAGTCCCTTTCATACTCTATGTTGCCTTTGAGTGATGGTCCAGAAGGTTCAAACAGTCGTCCTCAAGTAAGCAGTATAAAGTATTGGAGTAGTAAATTTGAATTGTAGACAAAACATTTTAACATTTTGCTGATTTGTATTCTTAAAATCCAAGCAGTCTTTCACTGAAGATAGCAGGGACATGAACTTTGAAGTTAAGAGAAACCTGGATTACATTCCCAACTCTAATACTCCCTAGCTGTGGAACTTCAGATGTCATTTATATTAAGGTCTCCAAGCTGCAGTTTCCTCTTATTTATATAAAATACGATTGATATTACCTGTGTTGTAGAGTTGTTGTGAGGATTAAATGAGTATATGTGTAATATACCTAGTGCCATGGTTTTATTTCATAAAACCAAATGAAGTAAAGGATTGGGAAAACATTTTGCAAACAATAAAGAATTATGTACACATTTAAAAAATAAATTTGCTAAAATATTTTGAAATTAATAAAAAAAAGTCCCACAGTTTGTTATTTGGTTATATGAGAGGGTAGTCTTGTTACTATCTCTTTGACAAAAGCCCTGTTTTATATGCAGATGATAAGAGGACGTCTGTGTGATGATACCAAACCTGAAACCTTTAACCAGTTGTGGACTGTTGAAGAACAGGTAATAGATATTTCTAAATTGTGTAGATTTAAAAAAAGAGTCAAGATTAGAGTATTATGAATAAAGTGTATATTCTTGTATATAATCCCTCTTCACCATGAATTTAAAATATTTAACTTTATTTCTGTACACTTTTTGCACACTTGAATTTTGGATTTTGAGAATACATGAAATCCTGTTTGGGGGTGATTTTTAAAGAAGGAACCTGAGTTTTGGGAGGGAGATTGGAAAAGGTAGTGAAATGGATGGAATGAAGTTTTTATAGTGCAAGTTTGGGAGAGAAAAACTTGGGGCCAAATCAAGCTATGCCTCAGTGACTTCTTGTTTTTGTTGTGGAGGGGAGCTGACAAAGTCAGGTTGGATATTCTGTTGCATTTGGCTTGCTGCTAGGACTGTCTGTGGGTAAGGTTTGAGATACATTTCTGTCTCATAGGAGGAATAACCCTACAGCTGTAATGAGTTTAAGAATTTTTACATCAATCACCCAGATTATTCTGCATATTTAGGACTATGGGAGAATTTAGGAATAGGCCAGAATATTAAAGTCAAATATTTGAATGGAGGACCACACAAAGGAGGGAAAGTCTTTTTTTTTGTCTAAATCCAAATAAATTTACATGTTTTTGTCAAATTTAGTATGAGAGTGAGCCTAAACATAGTCTAGCAAGATCACCCAGATGTGTAAAATATTAATTGATTAATTTTTTGAGCTGTCTTTTTACTGAAATGAATATAAAATCTTTATAATGTCTTCTGTAGGTTTATTCTCTAATCCTATTTTCTCTGTGAAGTTCTTAAGTTGCGTATGGGAAAATTTTTCTGCATGAGGATTTCTAACCCCCAAAGTTAGGGAGGGAATATTATAATTTAAAATGTAATGTGAATGCATTTATTTAGAAACTCAGTATTAAACTTTCTTAAATGTGGTCTTGGATTTGACTTAGAAAAAGCTTGAACAGCTACTCCTGAAATACCCGCCTGAAGAAGTAGAATCTCGGCGCTGGCAGAAGATAGCAGATGAACTGGGCAATAGGACAGCAAAACAGGTAATTGAGGAGATGGCCCCATATTGTTGGTATGTTTTTGATATTTTTTTTTATTTACTAAGGATAATGCAGATGACACTGGATCTGCAGCATCATTTTTGTCTACAGAGTGCTTGCTACAGTATATAGGGTTTTAAAATTAGCATCGTGTATTTTTGTATAGAAACACTTGAGATAATCCTACTTTGGATCACTACTAAATACTAAAAAATAAAAATGTAATGGACTTAGTGTCTGTTGAATGCTTACTGATGCACCAGTTATGTGCTTTTTGGTTAGACTGTGGTAATAGATTTGTGGCATGGCCTCAGTATTCCCTGCTCTCTCTCTAAAAAACTAGCAGTTTTCTCCTTCACATTCCCATCGATGTTAATAGATGTGTTTTTATGTTATAAGCATGAGTATTCACAGGTTGAAAATATTTATTTTGCTTTGGAATAAAACATTTTTTGATTGTAAGTGTCTTTGGTGGCAGTTTCAGATTATTTCTAGATTTATGTTAAATTTTAAATTGTTAGCATTCATTTAGATACACATATACATTTTTAATTTTTAAAAACTATTCAGGAATTACACACTTGTATGCTGATGGGAATGATCAGTAGAAAAGGAATAGTGATGACATTAGGAAGAATAAATAACTGTAGAACATTTAACAGTGAATCTTAATTTGACAGTCCTTCAGGACCTCCTGTACCTGCTTTCGAGACTTAAATTTTAATAGAAAGCATATACACTTAGATGAATAAATTTCAAACTGGTACAAAAACCCAAAAACATTCAGGTATTGCATGTCTTGGCATTATATTAAAAGGCTTGTCATGTTTCTTTAGGTTGCCAGCCGAGTGCAGAAGTATTTCATAAAACTAACTAAAGCTGGCATTCCAGTCCCAGGCAGAACACCAAACTTATATATATACTCCAAAAAGGTAAGAAGGCCCGGCCGGGCGTGGCTCAGCAGTTGAGCGTCAACCTAGGATCCAGGCGACTGGGGCTCGATTCCTGGTCAGGGCACATGCCCGGGTTGCAGGCTGCAGCTGATCAGTGACTCTCTAATCATTGATGTTTCTATCTCTCTCTCTCTCTCCCTCTCCTTTCCTCTCTCTGAAATCAATAAAGATATATTTAAAAACAACAACCAAAAAACCCCAAAAAAGGTAAGAAGAAAATAGATAAAAAATAAACCATAGATCTTAGATTAAACTCATCAGAATCAGAATTGCTATGTAAAAGTTTATATGTTTATTAGAACAGAGTTGTTTTATTTTTAAAGTTCGACTTACTCTAAGTGTTTTGTTCTATTGGACATAAACACAGGGCAGGATTCCATTATAGCTACTTAGTTTAATTGAGTGAGCTTTAATGATAATTGCTCATTATTTTCTTAGGAGTAGATTAGTTTATGTGAATGAGTGTTGCTCGAAAGATTTTAGATTGAATGTATATCAGAAAAACCTTTGTGATGTTACAGGTTTTAGTATGTTTGACTTTTTAATAAACACAGTCAGTTTCCATTCTTTAGATATGCTACTTAAATCCAAGAATAGAAATGTTTAAGATATTTCATTTAATCCTCACTGTTATTCTAGGTGTTTAAGTAATATTATCACCTTCACTTTACTGATAATAACACTAGTAGCTAGCTGTTATTCTCATGATTGAATGCTCTGGGCCAGGGCCATGTAATGTTGTACAACCTATTTATTTTTTATTTAAAAACAAATTTTTTTTTTTTTTAAGTGGCTAGTTCAAATTGAGATGTGCTTTAAGTGTAACATACTCACCAAAGCCTTAGTACCAAAAACAATGAAAACTATTTGCTTATAATTGTTCTATTAATTACATGTTGAAATATATTTTGAACATATTGGGTTAAATAAAATACAACCTTTTTATAGACAAGAAAGCTAGGGCTTAAGATATGTTGAGTAAATTGTCTACTCACATAGCTGTTAAGTCCGGGAACCATTGATCCTCTGATTCTGATCTCAAGCCATTTCCATTATTCTCTGCTTGTCCATAGTGAAAAAGCTTTCCTACATAGAACACTGCATCAGGTTGTAGCCATTTTGTGTGTGTGTGGTGTTGTGTTTTTTTTTTTGCTTTAATTGCAAAATATAAAGCACATAATAGCCTAATTTCATTTCTTTAGTAAATCATCCTGATACTTCCCCTCCTCCACCACTGCCTTCCTTCACATAAAGAGAAGCTAAGTGTATTATCTAATGCTGTCATCCTTTATTATTGAAGCTCTAAGTTTTGTTTTTATTTTTGCCAAGCTTTGGAATCTTGTTTTAATTTGTCAGTTTTAAATATCCTGGATTTTGTTTCTCCCTAAATATTAGCATTATTAGCATTATCTGTATTAGATATGTAGAACTCATTCCTATAACTTTGGAGTGTTGGAACCTTGATAACCAACGTTCAGCTTAAAAGCTCTAATTTTTATGATTAACTTCTAAGTGTTGTGTCCCTTTTTTTTTCCACAGCTAAGACTACAGATGGTGATAACAAAAAGAGTACTAAGGAAATCTAAATGTGTTCCCTCCTTTGAGTGCAAAGAATTTTAAGTGAACAGACATTTTTACTGTAGAGATCTAGTCCAGCCATAGACACAGTGATTCTTTGCTGTGGTTAGACTTTGGATTTTGAAAAATGAAATAATGGTTCTTCATGTAGCTGAGGTTATTCTTTGTGGCTGGTGAAGAGAGGCATTCTGCACAGTGGTTTAGAGTGAGGGCTCTGGCATCACACCGGCCTATTTGTAATATTGGTTCTTCACCATCTAGCTGCAACACCTTGTGCAGCAGCTTAACCTCCCTGTGCCTCCATTTCTTCATCTTAAATAAGAGGCAGTAATAACTGCTTTATAGAAATGATGTCAGGATTCAATGAGATTGACATAGAGTAAGCAGTCAGTCAGTGTTAGGTATTATTTTCAGACATTCACCACGTCGTGGAAATTTTCCTTTTACTTGATAGTTTTATATCTGGCTTAGGGTACTTCCTCTTCCCTGAATTTCTGTAAGAGGACTGTATGAGTTCAGTTAAGCATTTGAATGCCAAGAGTGTGATAAGAGCTGCGGATACAAATATAAACTAGATAATGAGCATGTGGTCCTGTTGTTTGGGTACTCCCGCTCCATGTCTGTTTTTTGTTTTTAAAGGCTAATTATGCTTTAAAAATCCAGATAACGTAGAAAAAGCAGTCATGTAAGAGTGTGATGAAAAATAGAGATGCAGTCCTTCTAATAGACTTGTAGGAAGTAACATTAATATTTTTATCTTCTTGATTCTTTTATTGATTTTTCACTGTTCCAATTAAAAATTTGTTTTCTCATTTAGTCTTCAACAAGTAGACGACAGCACCCCCTTAATAAGCATCTCTTTAAACCTTCCACTTTTATGACTTCCCACGAACCACCAGTGTATATGGATGAAGATGATGACCGATCTTGTTTTCATAGTCACATGAGCACTGCTATCGAGGAGGCATCAGTAAGTTACCTGTTTACACTATATATGTATATTGTGTCTGTGCCTTGTACAGGTAGGATACAGAGTGAGAGCACCAGGATTTTCTCATTATTCCTACTCTTCGGAGAATGCCTGTTTCTTTTTTTTTAAATTAACAAATCTAATTTATGGGTCTTTTATTACAATGTGTTTAATTTTTTAATATATATAAATAAAACAGAAGAGCATAATAAACCCATATGTACCCACATACAACTTCAACGATTTCAATTTATGGCAATCTTGTTTTCATCTGTACTTCCTTACCATCCCAATTTTGCCACAAATTATTTTGGAGAAAGCCCTAGACATTACATAGTATCATTGTTTATGAAGATAATTCTTTATATAGTCAAATATACAGTCCACATTTCTCCAGTCATAAATTGCAATAGATTTACTCCTTCCCTCCCTCCTTCCCTCTCTCCTTTTACCCCTCTCACAATTTTTTGTTGTTGAAAAACTGGGTAATTTGTCTTGTTGAATTTACCTCTGTATAGGTTTTATTGTTTGCATCTCCTCGTGTCATTTAACCTGTTCCTCTGTTCCCTGAATTCCCTGTAAATGGATAGGTCTAGATAATTGATCAGACTCAGATTTGTTCATTTGTTAGGGTGGGCAGGACTACTTGAGTGTACTTTGATCAGTCTGGTCATCGCTCTCTTTGTTTTTTGTTTTTTTTGACATAGCCATTGTTGCCTAGATCCATTAATTCATTAGATATTATGAAATAGTAATATTCTTCATTTCTTTGATAGAATGTAAAGTAAACCCTCCTCATCAACTATTTAATTATTATTCATATAGAAAAAGGCAGCATAACTGCTGGGGGAGAGCAGGGAAGTGGAAAGATACACAATAAAACTGTTCATACTGCTTATCTGAGGGAGAAGGGCGTAGGGTAAGGTTAGAAGGAGCATTGCTAATTGTGTTTTAAAAAAATATGTATGGGTACCTTTACTCTTTGCTTATTATAGTGATCATTTATTACTTCAGTAATTTGGGGAAAATATGCTTTGAAATAAATCTAGTCCCAGCCACCAACATGAACACTTTACAGTTTTAGAACATTTAGACTGCTACTTGGTTCTTCCCTTTATTTTGTTTTTAAAATAATGAGTTTATTCTCTAATATCCTCCAAAAATGACTAATGAGTTTTTAAAATTTTATATTCTTAAGAACTGTTGACTTAAATGTATTTAATGTGTTTTAGTACATTGGTAGTTATAATCTATTCAAGTTGGATTTTGAATTCTTTTTGACAAGACTCCAGTAGTCTGTGATAGCTTCCTTATTGTCTGGTATGGGAAGAAAATTCCGGGCTGATTTTGTATATTTCCTGCCTCAGACCTAGTGTCAGTCTTGCTGTTACTTGCTGCTTGGTTGATCACTGTTTCTAGGGTGGCCAGAACTGGGAAATGTGTTCTGCTGTTGTTCAAAGAGAAAACACATCATAAGTTCATATTTTTATTTCAAATTCAACTTACGGACTATGGGAATTTTACTTTCCCTTATTGATCTTAAATATGTATCTCCTTTCTCTCATTTTGAAAGTCCCATTTATCAGTAATATCAACATAATAATAATCACTTTTTTCGTCTTGTCTTATACTGCTCGCAACAGTTTCTGAATATAATACTCATACTACCATTAATAATATGATTACTGAAAACAGATTTTTTTCCCCAAGTTCTTTTTTGCCTAAGGATATATATCACACTACAGAAGTAAACTCAAATTACACTTTTTAAAATCCTCTAAGAATAATTCCTTTCTGTTTCATCATCTGAGTGCTAATTTGGTTAATTCATTTCATTTCACTTTCTATTTATAGCTCTTTTTTTTATTGCTGTTAATAGTTTTCATTTTTTTATTCTGAAATTAATTTCCTCCATATTTAGCATGATTCTCATCCCTTGCTTAAAGGACATAGAGATTAACACATATCTTTCTTAATACTCTGATTGTATATAATAATTGCAAAAGAAGATTTTAATGAAAAGTCAACAAATAAAACTAAGTCTCCTTTGTTCTGTTTCTAGATTAATCAAATACTGATAGTATACTTTGGTATCAAACTATTATAAAATGCCTGTTCTTTAAAAATACTTTTAACTTGTCTTTTGAAAACAGCTAATATCTGCCGTGTCTTAAGATATGCCATTTGTATGTAATTTTGTACTTTGTGAATATTAGAATTAATTATTTGAGAAATATTTATTTACACTTAATATGTGTCAGGCTCTCCTAGAGTTCAACTAAATAGCTATAAACAAAATACCTATGACCTTTGCTCATAAATTTTAGTCTTGTGAGAAGAGATAAATGTATAATCACATCAATAAATATAAATTTTAAAAAGTGCTTCAAAAATAGGTGCTGGCATAATTATTTAAAAGGTACTTAATTTAGATTGGGAGTTTAAGTGGGAGACCTGAGGAAGTGACAGTCAAACTGACAATTGAAGGATGAATAAAATTTAACCAGGTGAGCAGTGGCAGGATATTTAAAAGAATTACATTTTGAGAACAATGGCAAAATATAATATAGTAGGTTTAACTTTTGTTTAGTTGATTTTATTTACTTTTACGTGGGCACCAGTTCAAATCATCCCGATTACTTTAAAATAGCTGTTCAAATGTGTAACAGCAGTCCTGTCTTATCCACAGGGGATATATTGCAAGACACCCCCTTTTCCCACAATGGGCTTCTGAAACCAGAGATAGTACCAAACCCTATAAATACTGTATTTTCTTGTATGTACATACAAGTGGTAAAGTTTAACTTACAAATTAGGCAATTTCACAGGTAGAAGATTTGTTCTTAGCATAGATCTTAGCAACCTTATCATATGGTTTTTGTCTTTCCTCATTAAGTTGAGAATTTTCACCTTTTTACTTCAAGAAAGTACTGTACAGCTTCTTTTTGGCATATCCAAATTGCCAGCATCACTACCCTCGAGACTTGGGGCCATTATTTAAGTAAAATAAGCATTACTTGAACACAAGCACTGCAATACTATGAGTCTGATACCTGAAACAGTTACTAAGTGGCTAACAGGCTGGTAGCACATACAGCTTGGATACGCTGGACAAAGGAGTAATTTATGTCCCAGGCAGGATGTATTGGGATGGTGTGAGATTTCATCATGATACTCAGAATGGTGCACAATTTAAAACTTAAAATTGCTGATTTCTAGACTTTTTCACTTAATATTTTCAGACTGCAGTTGATCATGGACAACTGAAAATGTATATACTTCTAGTTTTAAATGTACACCATTTTAGCCCCGTTGGAAATTAGTCATAATATTTTCCTTTTAAGTAAATTTAAAATAATTATAACTAGGAAATCTGTTTATAGGTGAGTAAATTTTTAAAAAAATTTTTAATTTTAATTGTGATAAATACACATAGCATAAAATTTACTATTTTACTAATTTTAAGTGTATAGTTCAGTAGTGTAAAGTACATTCATATTACCATGCAAGCTTCAAAACTCAGTTTGCAAAACTGAAACTCGACTTCCATTCTACTTCTATCTGTGAATTTGATTATTCTTGGTATTTCATATAAATGGAATCATACAGTTTTTGCCCTTCTGTGTCTGGCTTATATCACTTAGCATAATGTCTTCAAGGTTCATTTATCTTGTAACGTCATAATTTCCTTCCCTTTTAAGGCTGAATAATATTCCATTTTATACACACACACACTTACATGTGTATATGTATATGTACACCACATTTTGTTTATCCATTCAGCTCTCAGTGGACACTTAGATTGTTTCCACCTTTGGGCTCTTGTGAATACTGCTGTGAACATGGGTGTATAACTATCTATTCAAGTCCCTGTTTTTACTTCTTCTGGGTATATATCCAGAAGTAGAATTGCTGGATCATATGGTACATTCATGTTTAATTTTGGAGGAACCACCATACTGTTTTCCATAGTGGTTGTAATATTTTCACCAGTAGCGCCCAAGGGTTTTAATTTCTCTACATCCTTGCCAGTACTTGTTACTTTCTGGAATTTTTTTTTTTTTTTTGGTCTTTTGAGTAGCCACCTTAATGAGTGTGAGGCAATTTAACTTTATTTTATTTTTGTCTTTTGATAGTAGCCACAGTAATGAGTGTGAGGCAATTTAACTTTTATTAATCTTAGTATTGCCCGGCTGGACGTAGCTCAGCAGTTGAGCATCGACCTAGGATCCAGGCGATCGAGGTTCGATTCCTGGTCGGGGCACATGCCTAGGTTGCGGGCTAGGCGGCCGATCAGTGACTCTCTCATCATTGATGTTTCTCTCTCTCTCTCCCTCCCTCTCCTTTCCTCTCTCTGAAATCAATAAAGATATATTTAAAAAAAAAAATCTTAGTATTGACCAAATTTAACCCTTTGCGGTCGTTTGTCTGCTCTCAGCCACCATAGCAAGGAACCGTACGAATCTTAACTCTATTCATTCATGTGTCAGTTCATAATTTCTCTGAAAGCTCTTAATTCTGATCAGTATGACACCCATGTCCAAATTTAATACGACCGCAAAGGGTTAATAATATCCTTAGACTTAAAATGCAAACTTAAAAATTTAGCAGAGTTTGTATTTGCTTAAAATATATTAAATAAATTTTGTTACAAAATTTCTTACATTATTTATTTAGGTCACATATTTATTAGTGTTACAAATTTTTTAGATTACTTATGTTGTCTTACTAGATTTACTAGGTGACATAGGAGGGCAGTAGCTGTTAATATCTTTAATTGACGAGAATTTGAAGTGGATGAAAGATAGTGGGAGATAGGGTAGATGAAGTGCAAGATTGTAAAGAATCTTTTATCGAGCTAAGTACTTTGGATCTGATACTGTAGACAATGAGGAAGCCATTTGGGAGATTTTAAGTAATGGTAGGGGTAGAGAAGGGAGTGAGTACTATAGAAGACCATTTTGAGAGAGATACTATAAAGTGTTAAGTAGTGACAGAATTTGTTGGATTCGATATGAGACGTGAACAATTAAGGATCTTTTATGTAGGCTTTGGCTGCTGAGTATGTAAGGATTTAAAGAGTCAGACAAGTCCGTTTCAAATCATCAGACTCTGCAAATCTATTTGACCTTTATAATTTCTATAAAGGCCAGTTTCCTTGATGTAAAGCAAATATTGTAGTTTAATAATACCTAACATGGAAAGCAGGAAGGATGAAAGGGGTAAGAGTTGTCTGGTCCAAGATTGGGAATTGATAAAACATTGGTGGGGGGTGTCAGTGAACTGGATATACTTTTAGGAACACTGGAAATTAGTGACCATTGGATCAGTCATGAGGTAGCAAAGGAAAGAAATGGGTTCTGGATGACAGAACAAATAAATTGGGAGAATAGGAAGCATTGACTCACCTCTCAACCTCTTTGTAACTTATTTCATCCCCTTGAATAAGAGACAAAGGTACCACCTTGATCATTGAGAGTGCAGAGAAGAAGGCAGAGCAAAGCAGAGATTGGTTTGCTTGTTAAGAAAATGTCATATTTACCTAAGGAAGTATAAAATCTGTTCGATTGAAGAAGAGGAGCTTCCTGCTGGGAGAAGTAGATTATCAGGGGGCTTTCAAGTAGCCACGGACGTGTTGGGCTGGAGTGCGTTTGCATTGGTGGTTGACAGAGGTGGAGGTCATGCCGTGCTCCCCTGGTACTTGCATTATGAGGTAGCGTACTACAGTTCAGTATTACTGTTGCATTAAGCAGCCCTCCGAAAGTATTAGTCTGAAATACTGCTAATAGCAACACTAATGTTCTGTGAAGTATCTTAAAAGTGAAAAATCTTGATAGAAAATATTCTGTATAACTATTTCTTATACTTTGCTCATTTTAATGATCAGACTAACATTTTTGTTCTGTGTATTGTTATGTCACTAGGATGAAGAAAGTATTCCTATTATGTATAGGAATTTACCTGAATATAAGGAACTTTTAGAGTTTAAAAAGTTAAAGAAGCAGAAACTTCAGCAAATGCAAGCTGAAAGTGGATTTGTACAACATGTGGGCTTCAAGGTAAATTCTACTTAATCTTATTATTCATTTAATTTTTGAAAGTATGATAAGAGATATTTAAGGTGCTTTTGGAGCTTTAAACACCGTAACTTCCAAGCATACAGGTAAAAGTTAGTAAATTTAGCTCTTGTCCATTTGTACAAAGCAGTGTGCCACAGTTATTAGTGAGAAGGCAAACATACAGGTTTCTAGACTTTGAGGTAAAATGTGAGATGAGAAGTTTTTATTTAGCCCTTTCTCTTTTTTACCTTCCAGCTTTGCTGAGATATAATTGACAAACAAAAGTTGTATAGAAGGTATAAAAAAATCACCTCATGTAATTGCCATTTTGGGGTAGTAGTGAGAACACACAAGATACACTCTCTTAGCAAATTTTTTTTTTTTTTTAAATATATCTTTATTGATTTCAGAGAGAGGAAGGGAGAGAGATAGAAACATCAATGATGAGAGAGTCATTGATCGAGCCCGCAACCCGGGCATGTGCCCTGACCAGGAATCAAACCCCGATCGCCTGGATCCTAGGTCGACGCTCAACCTCTGAGCCATGCCCGGCTGGGCTGTCTTAGCAAATTTTAAGTACTACAATACTTGCAAATTATTACAAACTATAACCACCACACTGTACATTAGCTCTCCAGAACTTATTTATCTTATAATTGAAAGTTTGTACCCTTTGACCAACATCTCCCCACTTTTCCTGTTTCTATCCCCCAGCCCTGTTTTACTCTCTTCTCTGAGTCTGACTTTTTTTGATTCACCTATCAGTGAGATCATACAGCATTTGTCTTTCACTGTCTGGTTTAATTCAATTTACATAATGTCCTCTAGGGCAGGATTTTCTTCTCTTTTATGGCTGAACAGTACTCCATTGTGTGTGTGTGTGAGAGAGAGAGAGAGAGGGAGAGAGAGAGAGAGAAGAGAGAGAGAGAGAGAGAGAAAGAGAGAGAGAGAGAGGGGCAGGCAGGCAGGCAGGCAGGCAGACATATTCTTCATCCATGCAACCCATGGAACTATTTCTCTTTTTGTTGCTGTTCATGAATCAGAAATTTCTTTTCCCTTTCAGATTCAGTAATCTTTGCTATTTTTCCAGAGGCTAGTAGAAATAAATTTGTTCATTCCACAAAAATTTGAAATACCCATTATGTTTCAGGCACTTGGCTAAGTGCTAGAGATTCAACAGTAGACAAGACAGACTCGGTTTCTGCCCTTACTCTGTTTTCATCTCAAGGAATTTAGAGAAGTTAAATAAGTAAAATAGTTGAGTACAACTTTGGTAATTTAGACAAAAGATGAGAACTTCCTGAATTTGCCTGGTGGCTGTGGAAATACAGACTGACAGATTGAGAACACTTTAGGCATTAGAATTGATGGTACTTGATGGGATTGCAGGAGGTAATAATGAGATCATGGACTATAGACTGGCTGGTAGAGGTACACATAAGAATACTGATGTATGTTGTGACTGATATATTGAAACTTAAAACAAACTTTTCATACCTCTGGTTTTCTGGCTTGGGCATTAGCAAGACTATATTAAATTATTTCTCATCTTGACCTTTCAGTGATACTGCTTTGCTTTCAGAGATTCTCCTAATTGACAGCTCTGGTTTTTCAAGAGGAAACTTTTCACTTCTCCTAACTTTGCTGCAAGACCCAGCTATGGCTGGTTGGCCAGTCTGTCAGCCATTCTAGTTGGCCTGATGATCAAAGAAACTAGAAATGAGAATTACTTTGATTTTTAAAATAGCACAGAACATACTGAGGGCTTCCACATGCCACCACACTGAGGACGACCCAGGTTTTCCTTTTCTTCATGGTGGTCATTGGTCATGAGGAGGCTTCAGGATTGGAGAGGAACTCAGTAAAATAAAAGTTCAGAGAGGATTTTGTGTTCACTTGGTAACAATAGTCTTTTAAATAGTTTGTAACATATTTAGATAGTTTCAGCTATGGTGTTAAGGGGGTGGTTCTCAATTACAGTCAGTGTACACTGGTGTGAGGTTCCTTTCAAGTGAGTAATTACTCATCACACGGCCAAGTTTGTAGGTGATTTACTTAAAAATTTAAAAAATAAAACATATTAAAGTTAATTTCTTATAATGTCCCTCTTACCCACCTGTAGCTTGATCTTAAATGGATGGGATTTTAGCTAGGGCTGGAAATTATATCTCACTTTTATGTTAGACCACTGTCTAGCATGTGGGGAGAGAGGACAGGATGTCTGTGCACGTTTTCCAGCAGAAAAAAGGGTTTGAACAATATAGCTTAATGCCGCTTCTCTCTGAATGTTTGACAGTGTGATAACTGTGGCATAGAACCTATCCAGGGTGTTCGGTGGCATTGCCAGGACTGCCCCCCAGAAATGTCTTTGGATTTCTGTGACTCTTGTTCAGACTGGTAAGTGTTTTCTACATTGTAGATCCTCAATTTTGGCAAGTAAAGAGCTTCTCAGCAACTAGTGACTTTGATTTCCAGGCTACTTAGAAAATCACCACATCTATTGGATTGAACTCTCTTGTTCTAAGGTGATAAATAAGTTTTCCTTAATCATTATATTCCTCAAGTAATTTTCCATTAGAGATTTTGATAGATTAATGGATTTAAACTGGTCGAGCTCTGAGGTAGTTTTGTAATATCTAGACCAAAATGCACCCACTGCCATGTAATAATGTGTTTGTGTGTGTGTGTTTGTGTTTTCTTTGCAGCCTACATGAAACAGAAATTCACAAAGAAGATCACCAGTTAGAACCTGTTTATAGGTCAGAGACATTTTTAGACAGAGACTACTGTGTGTCCCAGGGCACCAGTTATAATTACCTTGACCCAAACTACTTTCCAGCCAACAGATGACATGGGAGAAGAAAATCGTATACTAGCCTCTTCAACACACAGCAATGGTATCATTGTGAGTTATGTGCAGTTTGGAAAGGTTCTCGGCTTTCCCTGAATGACACTCACAGCATGACAGCTTCCTGAGTGTTCTCGTCCAGTCAGCTCTGCACCGTTGTGGCTCTAGATCACTGTCAGCAGCTGAACATTCCTGGTGAGCAAAGGGTTCCTCGGTCAGTCTCTCACCACCACCTTAAAGTCTCTTAGGTGGCGCTTAAATAGGTGAGATGGAAATGAGCACACATTGAAAAGTGAGTAAATTCCAAAGGTTTCAAAGAACTTGGTCATAAATACGATAACAAGAAGACAAAGTATTTATATTAAAACAGTTCAGTAGCTTTCAGTTTTGTGAAAATAGTCTTCAGCACAGAAACTGACTTCTTTAGACAAAGTTTTAACCAATGAAGGTGTTTGCTTCTAGAATATACACTTTAAAAGAACTCACTGTCCCAGTGGTGGCCCCTGACGGCCTTTAGTAAATTGGAGCTGCTTAACCATATTGATGTCTAATTTCTTTTAACCACAATGAACTGTCCTTATTACCAACACAAAGCACTACAGGAGGCAGCGGCCACATTGCTTCCTTAACCAGCTCATGGTGTGTGAATGTTATAAAATGGTCACTCAGATATATTTTTTAAATGTAATGTTATATAAGATGATCATGTGATGTGTACAAACTATGGTGAAAAGTGCCAGTGGTAGTAACTGTGTAAAGTCTCTAATTCACAACATTAATTCCTTTAAAATACACAGCCTCTGCCTCTGTATTTGGAGTTGTTGGTGCAACTCATCAAAGAAAACTGCCTAATATAAAGATCATATATATGGTAATAATTTCCCTCTTTTGTAGTCTGCACAAGATCCATAAAAGATTGTATTTTTATTACTATTTAAACAAGTGATTAAATTTAGTCTGCGCAGTGAGCAAGGGTTCACATGCATTCTTTTATACTGCTGGATTTTGTTGTGCATCATTTAAAACATTTTGTATGTTCTTATCTGTGTATACAGTATGTTCTTGAATAATGTTCATTTGTCAGGAGAACTGTGAGAAATAAACTATGTGGATACTGTCTGTTTATATTATAGAATGCTTGTTGTGACTTCCTTTGGTTAGATTTTTGATTTTTTTTTTTACCAGTGTTAAAACCAAAAAAAAATTTTTTTAAGAGCTTGCTTTACCTATCTGTCCTTTCCAAAGAGTAAGGACTGTATTATGGAAAAGAAGGTGAATGTGAGAAGCTCTGTAAGAGATGGTGCTATTTTCACTCTGTGTGCTGAAGCACTAAACTAGGTACAAGAGAACACATACTGTGGGTAAAGAGCAAGGCAGTTGTGTTCAGGTACGAAAACTAAACTGGTGGAAAATTTTACTCATCTTTTTATTGCAAATAAGCCCCCCTCCCCATGTATTTAATTTAAATAGGTGGTGTTTGAAAATCACTGTTCCCTGGGTATTTTTATTGACTATTGGAAAAGACTATAAATATTCCAAGATTAAGTATTATAGTGACCCACTTTTGAGAGTCTCCTGTTTTTTCTAATTTTAAATCAGTGGAACATTATTTACCAGTCCTCTTTTAACACATTGTAGGGTACTAAAAACATACCCTGGATATTTTTAATTCAGAAAAGTAATATAATTTTAAATATAGAAATATGAGAATTTTAACATAATATATTAATTAAAGATTAGTGATGATGTTGATAAAATATATTGTATCTGAAAAGAAAGGAAATGGACTTGAGTTTAACTTCTCACCCTGGAATTATTAGTTGGGAGAAGAAGGGAGTCATTAGAATCCTGAGCATTTTGACATTGTGTTAAATGAAGATGCCAGAAGATCTATCTTCAACTTGTAGCAAGACAGTACCACTGGATGGTAACTTCTGTGTTTGTATAGAAATCCTACCAGTTAATTTTGGAGAACCGTTCAGATCCATTAAAAAAATCTCATCAAGTATGAGGCATGCTTTAGAAGAGGGCTATGAACGATACAGTTGTTATGTAAACAGAACAGACAAAATAAATCTACTTAAATGTATTTTTCAAGGGCAAAGATTTTTGAGAATTTTGAGTAGCAAAGAGGATTATTTTCTGCTTGAGCAAATAGTCCTCATAGCTTTAAAAGGCCCTAAAGAGCAGCAGTAGTAGTGGTAATGTGGTGGTGGTGTTTTAACTTAAGGACTGCAGGAATAGGCATAGCTGTCGTTTGCAAATAGGCCTTCCATCTCCTACAAAGAAGTATTGACTATAAGAGACAACAGAGACCTACTAGTTAAAGCATTGCTTATTAAGTAGTATTCAGTAGGTCAGATGTAGTGTTTTCTGAAATAATGTGCTCAAGTTATTTGATAAGAACTGAAGGAACTTTCAATGACACCTAAAACCACTGCTTCACGGTTTAGGCAGAGGAGTTGTTTTTGATTGGTGTGATGTGCACTAATCATAATAACAAACACTAATGTCATGCTTACTATGTGCCATGCAAGCATATAGTAATGGACTTCATTCTCACAATCCTATGAGGCAGGTTCATTTATTCTGTGTTCATACGAGGAAATCTAGCCACAGAGGTTAAATGACTTCCCCAAGGTCATGTAGTTAGTGAAGTGGCAGTGCTTGGACTTCAACCTAGACAGATTGCTCCAGAGGCAGCGTCTGCCTCACTGCCCTGTTTACCGTGGTGTCAGGCCTCACTGAGGTGCTGCAGGTAGAGGTGTGCAGGGGCTGATTTTCAGTCCATTTTCTTGCTGTGGCCTGGTTCCTAGACTACACACCTGAGCACCTGTCCAGATTTATAGCACAGATTGGAGAAGCATTATCTGCAGGTGAGGGAAAAGCACTGAGATGGTTTGACACGGTGAATTAGAAAGACACACACACACATGTAATTTACATGTTCCAACTTGGCAGCAAACCTGTTGCGCTGAGGTTTTAGACAAAGTTGGGACTAAGACTTACGTCTCCTGCCTCAGGTAGAGTTTGTTTCCCTGCATGTTTGCCGCCTCTCACTGAACCTAACAGTATGCCTTGTCCATTTTTGAACACAGCAACTTGCTGAAGTATGAGGAACATTTAAAAAAAAGAAATAGAGAAAATAGTACATCATGTGTAGTAACAATAAACATTTTGTGAAATGTCTTTGTTAGTTGTAAATATAACATGGCATGCTATATAAACTACTCTTTACTGTGGATAGCAGAGTTGGAAGGCCATGGTTCTAGGTGCACTGTTTGGGACTGGGAGTCTCCAGATAACAAGCAGCTTTTTCACAAGTTTATGGAGGCATTGTCTTTTTTAGGCTGTAAAGTATTTTTTATTTCTTTAAAAAATATATATTTTTTTATTGATTTGAGAGAGCAAGGGAGGGGGGGAGAGAGAGAGAGAGAGAGAAACATCAATGTGAGAGAGGAGCATCAATCGGCTGCCTCCTGCACACCCCCTCCCGGGGATGGAGCCTGCAACCTGGGCATGTGCCCTACTGGGAATTGAACCAGTGACCTTTCGGTGCACGGGATGACACCCAGCTGAACCACACCGGCCAGGGCTGTTTTTATTTCTTACCTGGATGAAAAATATGCTTCTGTTTAATGATCCCAGAAAAGTCTGTCCGTCTCCCCC